TTTTGAGAGAGACAGAGCATGAGCAGGGGAGGGGCAGAGAGAGACGGAGACACAGAATCCAAAGCGGGGTCCAGGCTCCGAGCTGTCAGCACAGAGCCCATTGTGGGGCTCGAACTCACGAACCGTGAGATCGTGACCTGAGCTGAAGTCAGCCACTTAACCGACTGAGCCACCCAGGCGCCCCTGGAGCTGAAGCTTCTTACTCAGCACAGACTTGGCACTGAGGAGGCTTCCCAGAGTGTTTGATGAATCAAATAAATACAGTGGGAAGGAAATGGTTGTCCACTGAACTCTTATTCATCCTTCAAAGCTGCAGCTATAATGCCTACTCCTCCAGAAAGCCTTCCCTTTCCACCTAGGCAGAGATCTGCTTCCAGACTCTAGGCTTCTTGGCCTTAGGTCCCTGTCTTAGTCTCAGCCCTAACCACTTGGGCCTAGGAGGTGAGGGAGGGCCCCTTCATAGTGGCACAGGGAGTCACTTACATAGAGCCGGGGCCGGGGCAAGGCTGGGTCACCCCCATCACCTGCCAACCTCCGCACCTTCTCTCCTGGCCCCTCAGGCCCCTCATCTGGCTCCAGCTCTGGTCCATCGAGGCCCACACCTCTCCGCTTCAGTGTCTGTGGAAAGAGGAGACAATAGGGTGACTCTCCCTCCAGCCTAGCCAGGGAACCTGGTTCTAGAGGAGAGGGGAGAGCTCTACCCATCCAGCTCTGTGGGTGGACAGGAGTGCAGGCACAGCCTGTTCCAGCCAGATCCCATTGGCCAAAACCCGAGTGCCTGATCACCCAGTCAATTCCAGAGAGGCCCAGGTTACACGGTGGGGGCTGAGATCCACCAGGACCTGCTGGCACTGTCCTAACACTCCTCCTGAATATGACCCTGGTGCTTCTGTTCTGCACTCACATGCAACGTCGGGGCCTGGAGTGCAGTAGGTGTTTAATAAATGCTGGCAGACTGAGCACCTGAGGACAACTTGATAGGCCTTCCTGAGCTGCTTCCTCCTGGACCTGCCCATTCCTGGACCCCTGCCTCTCCTTTGACAGCTTCTCCTCACCCTCCTGAAACATTAGGGGTCCCCAGGCGCCGTCCTAGGCCTGCTGGTCTCTCCAGCTCTGTGGCTTTAGCTTCCCAACTTGCATACAAATTCCCATATCCAAAGGGACAGTGATCTTGACCATCCGCTTGTGCGCAGGCTGCTTCTGCCTCTTTCTCCTGAGGACCCAGCAGCTCAGACAAAAACACTCCTGGACTTCAGTGAGGTGGGCTTGCTCACTGGGACACTGGGACACTCAATGTGTCCTTTCAATTCTGTTTCTGGACACCCCAAACAGGTGACAGGATTAAATGAGATGATGTGCGAAAGAGACACAGCGCAGCCCTTGGTGCACAGTGACTGATGTTTTTATTTCTACTCTTCAGGCAGCCGACCCTGGGAGGGACCCTACATGACCTTGCACCTGCTTTTACCGGCAGTAAAGCCAATTTGCAACACTCATCTATTGTGCAAACCAAGAGTCCCCAGGCTCCAAGCGAGCACAGTGAGCTGGACCTCAGGGCGCTGGGGAGGAGGGCCCCAAGGGTACCTCGAGGATATCGGTGTTGGTGCGGCTCTCGTGGGGCTCACTGTACTCCGTGTACTTCAGGAGCACGCGGTCCATGTCTGTGCTGGCATACTGGAAGAGGCGATTGGCGCTGTTGAAGATGATGAGGGCGATTTCACAGTCGCAGAGCACGCTCAGCTCATAGGCCTTCTTCATCAGCCCAAACTTCCGCTTGGTAAATGTCACCTGGACCCAGGACCCACAGGCAGAGTGGGAGAAGACATGGATTTGGGGTGGCACGGGGGAGACAGAGGGGCCTCACTACTCCCTAAGCAGGCCTGACGATCCCGTGCCTGGCACCTGCTCCCTCTTTCACACTTCTCAACCTGACAAACTCCTAGTTTTTAAAATTTTTATTTACTTTTTATTCATAGAGAGAGCACACGCGGTGGGGACAGGGGCAGTGGGAGAGAGAGAGAACTTAATAAGCAGTCTCCAGGCTCAGTGCAGAGCTCGATCGATGCAAGGCTTGATCCCATGACCCTGGGATCATGACCTGAGCTGAAATCAAGAGTCAGAAGCTCACCCGCCTGCGCCACCCAGGCGCCCCTCAACCTGGCAAACTCCTACTGGTGCTTCAAAGACCCAGCCCAAATGTCCTCTCCTTTTGGGAAGTTTTCTTGGTCTCTAGGACAGAGCCTACATTCTCTCTCTGAGCTTCCTCAGGTCTGTGCCTCCCTCTGGACCGGCCCTGTGCGTTGGGTGTGTTTGTGTCCAGCTCCATCTCTCCTATGACTGGGGCTTCAGTCATCAGGGAGAATAAATGAATAAACCATCATGAAAATGAGCAAATGCTACATTTCAAACTGCGGACACCACATCAAGTTTCTCCAATCCCCTGTAGCTCTCCCAGATGGCCATGCCTTTGCCCAGGCTGTATCCACTGCCAAGAATGCCTTTCCCCTGACCACTGTTGTACCCACTGAACTCACCTGCCGATTCCTTTGGTCCAGAATGCGTGAGATCTGGATTTTTTTCCTCCCCATTGTCCCAGGCTTGGTGGAGAGAACTTGGCCTTGGGGGGAAGGAAAAGAGGACAGAGTGGGTACAGGAGAGAGTGAGACCAGGCATCCAGCCTCCCCTCTGTCTTCCACCTGCATCCGCCAAGCACTGAGGGGAAGATGTTGGGGGAAATCAAGGCAGGCTGGGTCACCTCCACAGCCCCCACCCTCAACCAGCCCAGGATAGAGTACATGCTCAGTGAACACCTTTGGACCAACTCCACACGAAGAGAAGGCTGACCAAGGGCAAAAGATAGAGGCACAGGGGCGCCCGGGTGGCTCAGTTGGTTGAGCGTCTGACTTTGGCTCAGGTCATGATCTCATAGTTCATGAGTTCGAGCCCCACATCGGGCTCTCTGCTGTCAGCAAGGAGCCCGCTTCGGATCCTCTGTCCCCCTGTCTCTCTCTGCCTCTCCCCCACCTGTGCGCATGCTCTCTCTCTGTCAAAAAAGAATAAATATTTTAAAAATTAAAAAAGAGAAAGTTATCCTCTTTAAAAAAAAAACAACTTTGAAGTTTATTTATTTATTTTAACGTTTATTTACTTTTGAGACAGAGAGAGACAGAGCATGAACAGGGGAGGGTCAAAGAGAGACAGGGAGACACAGAATCCGAAACAGGCTACAGGCTCCGAGCTGTCAGCACAGAGCCCGACACGGGGCTCGAACTCACGGACCGTGAGATCATGACCTGAGCCAAAGTCGGACGCTTAACCGACTGAGCCACCCAGGTGCCCCTGAAGTTTATTTATTTAGAGAGAGACAGAGTCAGCACAAGTAGGGGAGGGACAGAGAGAGAGGGAGACAGAGAATCCCAAGCAGGCTCCACACCATCAGCACGGATCCTGACACGGGGCTCAAACTCAC